GTCGGTTATTCAAATTCTTTACGTTTTAATGCTATGTCATAACATGGGAAAAATGACATTGACTTCAAAGGCTCATTGTAGAAATGAATGAGACAGCTCAGAAAACCACAGGGCGCTGGGCCAGGGCGGCGGCCCCCGGGGAGCCGGTAGGATGGCAGAGGGCAAGGCGGGCGGCGCGGCCGGCCTCTTCGCCAAGCAGGTGCAGAAGAAGTTCAGCAGGGCCCAGGAGAAGGTGCTGCAGAAATTGGGGAAAGCTGTAGAAACCAAAGATGAACGATTTGAACAAAGCGCTAACAACTTCTACCAACAACAGGCAGAAGGCTACAAGCTGTACAAGGACCTGAAGAACTTCCTTAGTGCAGTCAAAGTGATGCATGAAAGTTCAAAAAGAGTGTCAGAAACCCTGCAGGAGATCTACAACAGCGAGTGGGACGGTCATGAGGAGCTGAAGACCATCGTAGGGAATAATGATCTCCTTTGGGAAGACTACGAGGAGAAACTGGCTGACCAGGCTGTGAGGACCATGGAAAACTACGTTGCCCAGTTCAGCGAAATTAAGGAGAGAATTGCCAAGCGGGGTCGGAAACTCGTGGACTATGACAGTACCCGACATCACCTGGAGGCAGTGCAGAATGCCAAGAAGAAAGATGAGGCCAAGACTGCCAAGGCAGAGGAAGAGTTCAACAAAGCCCAGACTGTGTTTGAAGATCTGAACCAAGAACTACTAGAGGAGCTACCTATTCTTTATAATAGTCGTATTGGCTGCTATGTGACCATCTTCCAAAACATTTCCAACTTGAGGGATGTCTTCTACAGGGAAATGAGCAAGCTGAACCACAATCTCTACGAGGTAATGAGCAAACTGGAGAAGCAACATTCCAATAAAGTCTTTGTGGTGAAGGGACTGTCAAGCAGGCGCTCTTTAGTCATTTCTCCCCCAGTTCAAACAACTATGGTCTCCAGTCCTCTTACCTCACCTACTAGTCCCTCTACACTTTCCTTGAAGAGTGAGAGTGAATCTGTCTCAGCAACTGAAGATCTGGCACCTGATGCAGCCCAGGGGGACGACAATTCTGAGATCAAGGAGCTCTTAGAAGATGAGGAAATAGAGAAGGAAGGATCTGAAGCAAGCTCCTCTGAGGAAGAAGAGCCTCTACCAGCCTGCAATGGCCCCGCCCAGGCCCAGCCCTCTCTTACCATTGAGAGTGTCAAGTCCCAGGAGGAAGTTCTCCCCAGCTCCCCAGCTCCATCACCTGGTGGAGCCCTGAGCCCTTCAGGGCAGCCTTCATCATCTGCCGCAGAAGTAGTCCTCCGAACCCGCGCCGCAAGTGAAGGATCCGAACAACCAAAGAAGAGAGCCTCTCTCCAGAGGACCTCAGCACCCCCTAGTAGGCCTCCTCCACCTAGAGCCACTGCAAGCCCCAGGCCCTCCTCAGGGAACATACCCTCCAGCCCTCCAGCCTCTGGAGGGGGTTCACCCACCAGCCCTAGGGCCTCCTTGGGGACTGGGACTCCAAGTCCTAGGACCTCCCTAGAGGTCTCTCCTAATCCAGAAACACCAGAGAAGCCAGTAAGAACTCCTGAGGCCAAAGAAAATGAAAACATGCACAATCAGAACCCCGAAGAACTTTGTACTTCCCCCACCTTAATGACATCTCAGATTGCTTCAGAGCCTGGAGAGGCAAAGAAGATGGAAGACAAGGAAGAGGATGATAAGCTTATCTCAGTTGACTCCTCAGAGGGCCAAGACCACCTTCAAGTCTCCGCGGTACCAGAAAACAACAACCTCACAGCACCTGAACCTCAAGAAGAGGTGTCTACAAGTGAAAATCCACAACTCTGAAGAGAAACTGCCCAGACTCCCCCTGCCCCACGCCTCCCCAGAGAAGCTCTTCAACCAGAGGGT